CTACTGTGTGGGATCACACGGCCACGCTGGACGCGAGGATCTTTACCAAGTGCGTCGACGAAGTGCTGCGTGCTGCCTTGGCGTTTCGGCCGGGCGACGCGGTACAGTCGCGTGAGAATGCGGAGCACGAGATCCGAGCCCGCAAGTGGGCTGTGCGCTTCGTCGTGGCGCACGACGAAGCGTACTCTGGACCGACTGGCTCTCGCGCCGCGCGCAACACCTTGCAAGTGGTGCATGTTCGCGAGGCTCCGCTTACCTACTCGGGCTCAGCAAAGCCACTCCTGTGCTTGCGCGCGGCCGCCTCACTCCCGGGCTGCCCATGCATCTACTTGTCAGACGCGAACTTGGATGACGCAGGGCAAATTACGGCAGGTGAGGATCTGCCAGTCCAGTACGCGGAGCTCTTACTGCGAGTGACGGCCAAAGATCCTGTGCAGGAGTGCAACGAAGCCGAGCGCGGAGTGCGAATCATCTTCGAGTGCGCAGACGCCACGCAGCCAGATATCCGCGCGGACCTCATGTGGGTGGTCAGCGTCAGAGACAGCTTGGCCATCGCGCGACAGCGGCCTGACACGCTGTTGCGGGTGGTTGCAAAGCCTCATGTTCTGTTCGACACGGACGGCGAGCCTTCCTTGCGTCACTGGCAGGTGATCTTCCAGTTTCCGGCTGCGGACGGAGATATCGAGCCGTTTGCCCGCCGTCGGGCGTGGCAGCTTTCCTTGGACTCCCAGCCCAGCCTTGAGATCAAGCGTCTTCAGGAAGACGCCATGGCAATGACTCCGTTGACTAAGGTTGCCAGAGTAAAAGAGGCTTTGACCTCGCCCAGCTTTCGTGCTTGATGACGCGCGTGCCGTTTCGGGCCGCGCGTTCGTGTCGGCGCGTGCCGCGTCGGGCCGCGCGCTCGCGCGGACTGCTGCACCGCTGAAGCAGACGAAGAGAAAAGCCTAGCTTTTGCGTTTGACACGCGTGCCGTTTCGGGCCGCGTGCTCCAGCCCAGACTACAGCACGGCTTGAGCAGACGCAAAGAAAAGGCGCTCTCGGGGGGGAGGGAGGAGAGTTGAACTTGAAGCGCTCGTTGGGAGCTTTGGAAAGGGAAAGAGAAGAAAGAGAGAGAGAGAGAGAGAGAGAGAGAGAGAGAGAGAGAGAGAGAGAGAGAGAGAGAGAGAGAGAGAGAGAGAGAGAGACAGAAGAGAGAGAGAGAGAGAGAGAGACGAGAGAGAGAGAGAGAGAAAGAGACAGAGAAACAGAAAGAGAAAGAGAAAGAGAAAGAGGGAAAGAGAGAAAGAGAGAAAAAGAGAGAGAGAGAGAGAGAGCAAGGGGCCAAGGACAGTTCTCCAAACTATAGTTGTTCACTGCTTTGAAACTTCCGCCCCCCGGCTCTGCCGGACCTTACTTGTAAGTGCAATGTCTTTCAGCAACGTCTCACTCGAGAATTACTTACACGAGATGCGGAAGACACAGTATCACGATCTTTTCGTCACGACCAGAACATCCATCCGAGGTCCTTTCGGGGGCAACCGCCCCAACACTCAAGCTCAAACTCCGCGATCTGATCTGACTTTGCAGCGCCCTGCTTGCGAGACTCCTGCGAGTCATCCACCGCAATGGTAGGGGCAGCAGCCGCATCTTTGCCAGACACCGCATCATCTGTCTTCACATCTTGATCCTCCTCTGCCTCCACCTCCACCTCCTCCTCATCACCGGCAAGACACTGACTAGCCATGTCTAATTGCAAGTGCCAGTGCCAAAAGGCTGCAAAAACACTTTTCGATTGCTCCCTGAAAAACTCGGCATCCTCTCACCCGGACACGCGCTCTCAGACCCTGCAACCGCAACCATGCAGAGAAACATGGACTTGCAAAACCGTCAGAACGGAAGCATGGACCATGGCAACAAGTTTTGTTTGCAAATTGCTGTGGCACGTGAGAATCAAAACTTGCCTAGTGTCTGTCTGTGAGACTCTACACAGCCTAATCGCTAAGAAAGTGAATTGTCTTCTTCCCGAGCTGTCTTGACTCCAGCAGCATTTGGAATCACAAACCACTGGTTGGCAAACATAGCACACATGAAAACTTTGCCAACCAAAGACACATTCATTCCATTCCCTGCCAGCTTCCGCAGGGCCTCGGCACTTCAACGATGCCGCAGCATGGCATTGAGAAGTGTACTCATCCGGACCAAGAACTGGTATGCCTTGCATGCACACAAGCTCATAGGGGTGCACCAGCCTTTGCTCACGTCTCTCTCGCGCTGCCAGAAAAAGACGGCAAGAAGTCATCAAGGCCGGGGCTACCAGGGGCATACGTGGGGCCGGCTGAAATTGTGCTGTCTGTGAGAGATTGAGGAATTAGTAGCGCAAGTCGTTGCCATCTTCTGCGCTCATTGACAAAGCCTTTGCCCGAACTTTTTGAGAATCCTGGAAGAAGGAGAATACGAAGGATTTGGGCCGAGAATGAGGAAGGATTTGAAGTGGGTCCCCGAGGAGAATGACACGTTCATTGCTAGAAAGGTTCCTGGGCGGAACTTGTAATTCGGAAGAAGTCAAGGCAAAGGAAAATCCAGAAACAAAAAGGGCAGTCACCGACAAGGTGGCTTCAAACCCTTTCGCAAGCGCATCCGGCGGGAAAGGCCAGTATGGCCAACGGAAACTATGATCGCTACGACCAGGCCACTGGGGAAAAGGCAAAGGCAAGAAAGGAAAGAAAGGGAAATCGAAATTCCAGTATCCTTTCAATGGAAACAAACCCAGATCAATCACGGAATTGGAGTGACTCAGGCTGGCATTCATCCCCATGAGGTATCCGGCACAGGACATGCGACGCAGCATTTCAGCTGTTTTTTCCAACACAACCTGTCAGTCACAAGCTGACAGCGCCTGTCAAGATGCTCCTCGGTTGTCACAGATGAGAAACCTCGACATTGACCATCAAGCATACACCTCAATGCGGCAAGATCGTTATTGACTGATCTGATGGCGTGAACAATGCCTTTCGGGGCGTGATGTGAACAAGTGAGCTGCTTGTTCTTCTTGTCAAGTATCCAATGATCGACGAAGAAGCAGGTTCAGGGTCTGCTGCAGACAGGATCATCAACAGGAAGGGCAGGTCGACCAGAGCCAGATCCTTTTGCACCACCCACAGATGAACTAGCACCGCTTCTACTTGCCTTGGGCGGAACCCATCAGCGATTGCCCAGGCTGGGGGAGTTGAAGAAGCTCCACCTCCAGCATCATCAAATGAGTACTGACCAATTTCGAAATAGAACTCGCGCGCTTCACTTACCAAATCGACATTGATCTGTTTGACAAGGTCCGAAGTGAGCGCGAACCATCCAGAAGCAAAACGACTGGACTTCGAGGACATGACATTCATTGAACGCCACGCATTAAGAACACCACCGTCCTCAGGAACTACTTTGACAAGTACCACTTGCAGCCCAAATCAGTTGTCCCACATCAAGCTTTCATGACTGAAACATGGGAACACTTCTACCAGTCCCTCGACATCAAACCAGTCTTTCTGGAATCAAATACACCGTGGCCAAAATCGCGCTGAAGCAGCAGTTCGACTCATGCTCAGCTCCATCAAGGCAGGAAAAGCACCTGCCTCTCTGAAGAAGTCACACACAGACAACTTGTCAAGACCGATGCAACTAGCAGAAACCAAACTGTGGTGCAACACCATTGGAACTCGCATTCGGAAGGCGACCAGCAGACCTCGTCCAGGTCAATGTCGCAACACCTGTCCAATTGACGATCGACAAGAACGAGGAAGAGCCAACAGCAATCCAGATCAAGCAGCTGTCCAAGCGAGCATTCCAAGAAGCTCGTCAATCCGCAGACATCCGAAGAGACCTTGCTCAGAATCTCCAAATAAGCTCCAACCTCTTCAGGTGAGAGACACAAGGTGTTCTACAGGCAGGAGTTAGCGGATATCGATTGATCGGCCATATCGTGGTGCCGTTTTCGGGTGTGTCGAATTTGGATTCCGTGCTGGCCTGAGGAGCTGCGCTTTCAGTATCGCCACTTGTGCTTGGGCTCTTGGCAGCCGCTATCTGATGCTGTTCCAGAATAGTCTACCCAGGATTGCCTTTTAACCATATGCCTCCTTTGCTTTTTATCGGAACGAATCTTGGATTTGTCTTAAGCCTTTTCCATTGACCTCATCGACAACAAGACTACTCTTGTTGCGACATCGACCTTTTGGTCTATAAGACTACTTCATGCAGTGAGAGAATCGATAGTTTCACATAGGACAATCCTGTCCTTGACTTTCGACGCGCATCAATCAAACAAGATGCGACATTTTAGGTACGACCTGGTACCTCTTATGCTTCCCGACCACGTGTGCGAATTCGATTTCAACATGCATTGCACTTTGTATATACTTTTCCAGTTGCCAGACGAACAAATCCAATCGCATCACAACAGTGACTTTGATAAATGGAATACAGCTTTGAAAGGCTACGGCATATAGGACTAAGCCAATTTCACCCTGAATATACCGGAACTCGATGTGGGTGTTCGAAAGAATTTTGTTCCGGTTTCATGCTTGCTTACATTTGAACCCCACATAATCGTGAAACGATTTTGGCTCAAGGGCCCTTCTTTCACAATCTCTTTTCACTGAGAGCAGCATTCCATGCGCTCGTGAACACCCTCGCACTATTTACAGGACTATTTACCAGGGACATCCCTTGGTCAATACATCCATTCGGTGTACATCAACAGGATCCTACTGAAATAGATCCAGGGCATACAAAGCACCGTTACCATAGTGCACACTTCCTCCTTACAGATCAGGTGCCCCAGGTTTGGGACTCACCCGCCCCCCCCACCCCCCAAACAAGAGATTCGATTGAACATGTGGAAGTGGGATATGATGATATTGATAGGAGAATGGTGCCTGAGGGGTAAAAGGGGTAGTACCTGAACTCTTCAAGTTTGAGGGAAAGGCCAAAAGTGGACCCCCCCTTCCCCTCAGCCGCGGCTTGCGCTGTTTGAAACACTGCTGCAGCATCCGCATGTCACGCTTGCGAAGCACCAGCTGCAAACGGCCAGCATTGGTCTCAAGGACTCCTGCGCTCAGCTTCATGGTACGCAGCATGTTCAAAACAGCCGTCTGGACATCTGTTGTGTCCCACCCCTTCCGTGACCTGCCATATCCTGTGATTATGATGCACTTGAACGGTTCCGATGCACACAACCCTTTGCCAATACTCGGCACCACCAAAGTTGCCAGCCACCAACGTACTGCAAGCTGAGCCGCTCCCTCTGACAGGTCATGTAGGTCGACAATATGTGGAGTCGCATTCATTAGTTTGCAGAATACATTTTCTGACAACCCACGATCAAAGCATTGAGGCCCGTGCGACTTTTCAAAAGTAGCATCCAGCACCGCATTGTAGCTGATCAGGTTCGGCTGTACCTTTGCCTGAGGCATGGCACCAAACAAGCCCAAAGCTCGCTGCCACTGCCCGCCCTTTTCGCAAGCACTGATGGCTGCACTGTAGCTGATCATGTCCGGCTTAACCTTTGCCTGAGGCATGGCACCAAACAAGCCCAAAGCTTGCTGCCACTGCCCGCCCTTCTCACAAGCACTGATGGCTGCATTGTAGCTGATTACACCTGGCTTAACCTTTGCCTGAGGCATGGCACCAAACAAGCCCAAAGCTTGCTGCCACTGCCCGCCCTTTTCGCAAGCACTGATGGCTGCACTGTAGCTGATCATGTCCGGCTTAACCTTTGCCTGAGGCATGGCACCAAACAAGCCCAAAGCTTGCTGCCACTGCCCGCCCTTTTCGCAAGCACTGATGGCTGCACTGTAGCTGATCATGTCCGGCTTAACCTTTGCCTGAGGCATGGCCCCAAACAAGCCCAAAGCTCGCTGCCACTGCCCGCCCTTTTCGCAAGCACTGATGCCTGCACTGTAGCTGTACACATTCGGCTGAACCTCTGCCTGAGGCATGGCCCCAAACAAGCCCAAAGCTTGTTGCCACTGCCCGCCCTTCTCGCAAGCACTGATGGCTGCACTGTAGCTGTACACATTCGGCAAAACCTCTGCATGAGGCATGTCTGACAGCACCCAGCATGCGTCTTGCCATGATGCCTGCTTTGCGTAGCTGTTAATCTTGACGGTGTAGTCCTTGGCAAGACGATTCACATCCAAAGTTTGAGCTTGCTTGCATCCGCCTGCTCCAGGAGCATTTCGTGCAACCTTTGCTCCCTTGCATGCTGACGAGCGTGTGCTGAAACATCTGGAATCGCCCGGCGTGATTCGAACATCCGCGCTGCGTTTCAGTTGCTGGCCGGCTCGAAGTGCGCGGCGCGGAGACATATCCGCTTGCTCAATTCTCGAGGCATGGCACTTTGGGCCGCTGCCTTCTGGGCTCGATTTGTCCGACGGGGTTGGGGGTGGGCCGAATGTTGTGGAGGCCCCCAGCCCCACTTTGCAAGCAGGGTCTTTTGATTTGAGGGTGTGCTCAAGTGGCTGGCTTATCTTGAATTGTCCTTTTTGATGCCCACAAACAGCTGGGTGATGTAAAAAAAAAAATTAAAAAAAATGCGGGCAATTGAAAACGGAAACACAAACAAACAAACAAACAAACAAACAAACAAACAAACAAACAAACAAACAAATGCTCCATCCGCTTGCGGTTCCTATGGGCGAAATCAAACAATGAACCGCCCATGTGCCAGGTCGTCAAGACTGCCCAAGCAAATCCCTTCAACAGCCCAGAAAAGGGGGAAAAGCCCCATTTGGCGGCTGAGAGCAACCCTGAACATTGCACTAATTTTGTACTTCATTTATGGCACTTCACCAGCATAAAATCTAGGAACCTTTCTTCTGGAGCCCTGCTGGTAAAGGGTTCCTAGAGCCCAGTAAAGATCAACCTCCTGCACCCCACCTTCAGCTCCTGTCACCCTGTCCGCGCACCTCTCGGCAGGGCTCGGCGGACGCAGGCACTTCCAGCGCCGCACAGTCGCTGGCGGCGCCTGCGCAAATCAAGGGCGGGTGCAGGGGGGGGGGGGGCTACAAACCCTTCGTTTAGGCGTTTACGGCCTTCATTACTGTAAATACAGCCTCAAGACTTGACACAGCGTGCGTTTAGGTTTCATTTGTGACTCCAGGGTTGAACCGGGAAGGGCTTGGACTTCAGCTTTCTACTGCTTGGCAATGGCCATACACCACAAGAGCAAGCAATCAGGTGCTTGTTGAGCCCTCCAAACGAAACTTCGCCTCCACTGCCTCATCTGCCTCTATGCTTCCCCATGCATCCTCCCAACCCTCTTCAACATGTTCAAAATGATACTGAAAAACAAACACCTTGGTTCAAACAACCCTGAAGAACAAAACAATGTCTTCAAAACCCAAAAAACGGGCCGTCAAAACCACCCCTCGCAAGCCCTGCCCGGGCCCCCGCCTGAGGAGCAGCTCACCTCCCGCGCGCGGAAGCCGTCGCCGCAGGAGCTGCTGCAGGCGCCCCACCTCAGCACTCGCTGAAAGGGCCGGCCGAGGTCTCAGTTGTTCGAGGCACATCCAACTGACAGAAGATGTGCCATCTCAGCCAAAAGATTAACCATGAGACAGGAATGTGTCTAAACTACGGATGAACGCTCATGTCTCAGGGTTCTTGTATTACACCCTGGGATTACACGCTTGGGAAATGGCCCACAATGGTCCGAACTAACATGATTTTATCCCGGGAAAATATGCCTAGACGGGGTCATTTCCTAGTGGGCGTAATCCCAGAACGCAATACAAAAACCCTTGGAGAGAAGGAAGCCGCGGCCAGAAAGCGAACATGACGTCGGCAATAAGCCCGGAACCACAAGGGAGAAAAATGGCCGCGCTTCATGAGGTTTCGGATTTGACAAGCCCCAAACAAACAGGAAAATGCTGGGATGGATTTCCAATTGACCTCGCATGAGGTCTTTTAGACCCTCCCCCTCAAACGTGCGGGGCTGACTGGGGCTGCGAAAGAGTACCTTCCTTCAGGTCTGAACATGAAAAGATGCTTTGGGAGGAGCGCAGTGAGCACAGAACCCCACCCCCCCCCCAAACAAAAAACAAAAAGCAAGAAGGTAGAACCTGGAGCTCGTGCACCTGGCTTTCACATGTGTCAGCACCTCAGCCCTCTCTGTTGTTCCTCAGCCCCGCGCGCGCCCGCCGCCCAGTTGCACTCCGACACCTCGTGGCACACCTCCGTGGAATCCGGGCGCGCCCCGGCGCAGTCCGCCTCCCAAGCGGCCACTGAGTTGGGGCAGAGGCGAGCTGAAAGCTGGAGGAACGGAGGTACGGAGAAACCTCCACAGTGCTGGAAAACATGGGCCTCGAAATGAGCTCAACATGAGCTCAAGATCGGCAAGAGAAGGAGCGATGACTGGGAAACTCAGACAAAGGAGCAAAAAACTGTACCAAAGCCGGAGGCCACTTGGTGGATAAGGCAATGGACAGGCAGCAAAAGAACGGGCAAAATGCCAACCTACTCCCCGTCTGAGATTGTGCTGCCGCAAGCATCATAGGCCATTCGTACCGCCTTCTTCCTGTAGGGAGGATGGGCCTGTTGAACATAAATCTGCACAAAAGTTGTGCAGAGATTTAATCCGGGACAGCAACGGTCATATTCACTGCTGTTCGTGGCCTTGCCATTGAACCATGGGGAGTTGATCCTGTGCCCACAAGGGCAAATGGAAAGAACATGCCGTCCAAAAAACAGTCTGAAAGTTTTGACAACTGCCCATGGCGAAAGAGGGCAGGTTCCCTGTGGACTTCCCTTGAAGGGCCAATCAGCACCGGGAGGTCCCTCACCGTATGTTTTAACACCAAAAGCCGCTTGGCTCCAACGATCGCCTCCACACCAGAAGAGCAGGTCCTCAGTTTGCGGATCACGGAAGCGACCCAGAGCAGGCCAAGGGACGCAACCCGCCTGGTACGGACCGTCCCATCGAGCGCCCTTAAACCAACGCCCTGAATGTGTGGACCCATGTAGAAGTGCGTTTGTACGTACATGAACCCCCAGCATTCAGTTGAACTGAGCAACCTACGAGTCATCAAATTGAGCCAACGACTCGAGGGAATTCATGGAAGGAATTTGCTGTACTTGGATCCAATCAGAAATCCAATTGGCCAAGGCTGCTTCTAATCTTATCAGTGGGTGGGAGATTTGGCACAAGCAAAGGCCCCTGTTGCGACCCCCTTTTGACACTACAAGAAGCAGCCTTTGGTCCACCCGTGAGAAAGCTGAACCATAACCATGAAAGCCATGAGAAGCATTGGAGACCTAAGGGTCGGTTTCCGTTCTCCATTGCCTAGCAAAACGGAAGCGAGCACCAGCGAAAAAGAAACAACCTGTGGCGTTTTCTTGGTCCTATGCAGTGCCCACAATCAGCAGTCAACTGTGCTTGTCCTGGCTCCAGCGTTGTTGATGCCTATCCGTTGTCCTCCCTGGTAATACCCCACGCAACGCCAAAACATGCGCGCTGAGCCCACTGCACAGTGCGCTCCCTTGTTCCAAAGCCACACCTTGGAGGAGCGAAATGCGACCAGGGTGGCACATCAAGGCAGTGCATGGCTCCCATATATCACCCTAAACCTAAATGGGATCGTCCTTCCTCATGTTGGTTCTTTAAGGGAAACGCAAGTGACCGACAATTGTGAGACCAACGGGTTGGGCAGCGACACACAAAAACTGGGCAAAGTATGGCAACCTCACAAACCTTTCACCAAAAACCCTTCTCTTGGATTGTGTTTGTTGAATTCACTCCGACCACTCTACGCGCCACACACACAAACCCACTCACACTCATCTCCCTCACTCACACGCAGAGCAGAGCCCCCTGGCCAAAATGGTGTGTCATATGCATGCGATGCACACTTAGCATTATCTATGTGTATATATATATATATGTATATATAATGTATTAGTTCAAGAACATGGCATACACACGCCCGCCCACACACACACACACATTTGCCTGAATCAGATACAGAACAACTATAGCGTTCACCTGTTCATCTCACGCCCGCTGTGCCTAGTCTTCTCGCCATGGGTTTGGTGCGGGCTATCCTTGGTTCTGCTTTGAAGCGCCGGTTGTTCTTGTGGTCGAGGTTCATAATGGGCGGTTGCAAAACCGCCTGCCGTCCTTGAGGAGCGCGAGTGGGGCTAGATGCATATTCAGTCTTTTGTGTGTCACACTTCAATGGGGCAGGGTTCAAGATTCCCTCCACATCATTCGTCCACAGGTAATCTCATGTTTTGGTGGACTGATATGGACTGTTTCGTCAGAGTGTTGCAGGTTATGGCAGCTGTGTGTTCTGAGCATGGCAGAATGAAAGATCCACAGTCAATCTCACCTGGCCATCCCTCAAACCAAGGAAAAGGAGACAAGTCACTTGGGCCCATCCAAAAGGAAAAAAGGCTTTTGGGGCACCGCCGAACTGTCGACCTGTCGACCTGTCGATGGATCTCCGAGCATCCGGCTGCACGCTGCAGGCTGTCCAGTCAGATGCGAGCCACTCGCAGCCTATAGTCGCCTGAGGCAGCTTCCCATCAATCCCAGACACTCCGTCAAAGCGTTCTTGCCAAATGGCATGCCTTGGAGACCCGAAGAGAAGAGTGGGTCCGAAAGATCACAACAGCAAGCAGAAGTTGGCATCAGACCTCAAACCGCATCCTCTAAAACACACATGCAGCTGACAAAACGTAGGATCCCTCGAAATGGTGATGGTTTCATGCTGATTTCTGTTTCCAACTGCAGATGGGTCCCGCTTTGCTTACAAGTTCGGCATGAATCCGCAATCCGCAATCACGTTTCGTGGCCGATTTTCACAAGCTCGCCCAACAAGTTCTAAACAGGACGCGCCACCTGCTGGCTGGCACTTGGATTCTCTCCCATTTACTCCTTGATTGGTCCGCGGAGTTCCCGCTCACCTGCTCCTCGAACGCCGGCCAGCGCTCTAGACGGACGTTGGCCGCTTTGGGGCCGCGGCGTAGCAGCTCTGCTCCGAAGAAGCCGGCGCAGTGCCGCAGTCCGAGGCCTAAGCGGAGGGGGAGTCGGGAAGGCTGTGGTCTGACAGGACTAGACAGTGAAAGGGTCGAACACCTTTGGCTTGCGCCACGTTGGTTTGCAAATGTGCAAAGTGCAAAGCATGAAGCTTGCCAACAAAACATGGCTTGAGCTTGCCAGACAGCTTTCAAAGGCTGGGCCCAGCTTGTGCTGAGCACATAGGCTCGTGGCAGGCTCAGGCCAGCGCCATCCATGGGTAAGCTCGGTGCCAGTTGCCAAACCAATTGCAGCAGGTTTACATGGCCCCCAGGGTTGACATGATGTTTACATAATGATGTCCCTGATTTCTTGCTTTTTTGTCAGTAGCCTAGAGAAACAGAAAGTGAGAACTGGAAACAATAGGGATGACATTTCAAGATTCCTCCAAAGACCCTGCCATTAACAGCCAGACCTTCTAAAAAAAGGCCCTTGGCTCCTGGTCGTCTTTACTGGCTGGGAGTAACAAATCACCGCAGGCCACTGCCTTACCGGATCCAAAGAAACCGCGGTTTGCCGCGGCTCGACAGGCGGACAATGACACCGTTGGCAGAAGTGGAGGCCCAAAAATCGTGCCATCCGGTTTGCCTCACTTGCTCCCAAACAGATTGACGCAAAAACACGTCATGATCTTCCCTCTCAGCCCCAACTCTTCAAAAAAAACTAGCCACACGCAGACCCATTCCAACAAAACCACCCGACTTCAGGACGCGACATTCTCATGTCAGGCTTGTTTGGCATTGGGGCATTCGAAAGTGGCCATGTTGTTTAAGCCCAGCATGGGCAGTCGCAGCCCATCCCTCTGAGCGCCCAGCGCTGCCGCTGGGGCAGCTCCATTGCTGGACTTGCACACCGGCGCCACACCTCAGCTAGCTTTGTCAAGAGCTGCTGGGGGCTTTTCCTTGCGAGCCAAACCCCTCAATTAAACACCCTCCACGCACTGACTCTGCGCCTCCAGAAACTCCCAAGCACCAGCCGGCCTTTCAGCCAGATCATCCGTCACCAAGAACGCAAGCGTGCTGAGGTGCTCTGCGCTTGATGTGTTCCAAACGCTCAAACTGGCCATGGGCATCGGCTTATCAATGTCGCCACTGAAAAGGAAATTGAGCTGCAACCCTCCTCCTTTCCTTCTGAGCACTTCCATCACAAGCATGCCGAGCGAGTGGATCTCACGCCCGGATCGGCACTGACTGCTCGCCAACACCGCAGGGCATACGCGCCACCACAACACACCGCTCTTTGCAGTTCACAGAAGTCCGACAAACTTGCTTCAGTTCCGAACACTAGCACGAGCACGATTGCGCTTTTGAGTTCGCAATTGAAAACCTTCGGGCGCTGCGCGCACAAGAAGATCCATCCGCGACATCCCGGAGGGCAGCTACACGGTGCGAAGCAGAGACATGAACAGGCTCTCATCTGCCAGGTACAGGACCAAGCAGCCCCCGCTTGCCAGCGCAAAGCCGAGCGGCCCAGTCTGGTTTGGATGGCACACGTTGGGTTCGTTGGAACCGGTTGGCGTCAGACACTTTGATGGACCTGAAAAACTCGCACCGCACGCTCTGTCGCATTGGGTTTTTAAAGAGGTGTCGAGAACGATCTGAAGCAGTAGAGTCCAATGCTCCAACGACAAGAGTTGCTACGGACAGCGGGTCCATCTAAGGAACTGCCCACGCCAACCAAACCAAAGGGCTGTCGCTGAGCTCCCGAGCCTGATGCACCTTTAGTTACACCGTTTTTGCAATGGCAAGCGAAAGGATCATGTCCCTTTGCTTCCACCTCACAGCGGCGACGGTAAAGCAATCGACTAATACACTCAACATCATCCACCCAAAGATCAGAATGGGTCCCTTGAGTCCCTTTTCGGCCCCCAAAGGACTGCAGGCAGCTTCTTGGAATTGTTGCTTGAGGCATCAAGTCAACAGTTCGCTTCTGTCCAAACATGCGTACCGGAAAGCAAAACTTGCTTGGGGGAGATATGGTGCGACAATTTCGTTGCAAGCGTTCTGCCTGCACCAATTGACAGTGAGGACCAATTTATCTTGATCTGTCAAGAATATATTTAGTGGATATCCCTCCTGCAAGTGTCCAAAGGTTGGAAACGGAACTTAGAACCGATATAGAGCCTCTCCAAATCATGAGGCATCTTGCCCATGGGAACTTTTGACGCTTGTCCTGGTCCTAGACCACATCAAACTGCCCTGAGCCGCAGGCGTGGCGCTGCATTCACCCCAAGACGACACCTCGGGTGGAAAGAACGTGCCACAGAGTCGACCTACTGGGTAGGCTTGCGGATGGAAAATGACAACACTTCGTATGAAGGTCCCAGGCCGCTTGCAAAAGTTTGACTTTCGTCGGTTGGAGCCTTCACAATGTGATCTTGGTATTCAAGCTGTTGTGTGACCGGGAAACAAAGTGCTCTTACAAACTGCTGTCAAGCCAGCCTCTAAATACTGCGATTCCAAAATATTTAAAAGCCATTGCAGCGTGCAAAAAGGACGTTGATAATTGCAAACCGATACAAAGCGTGCAATGTAGTTGATTCCCCGATCGCAAGCCCAAATCCGTGGTGCCGGAAACAATGGCCACAAAACAAAGAATTATAGGGGGTTCGTATTGATGGCATCTGAGTTTCTAGTGGATAAGATGGCACATCCAGCCGATGTTTGAAGGCTTTGGGTGTGAAGCCTAAAGTAGTATTCGGGAGGCCTATACAAACACAACACACACACACACACACACACACACACACACACACACACGCACACGCACACACACAAACACATGCGCGAAAAGAGGACGGAAAGCATGCGACCAGATTTGGACGACACCAAATCAGCTTCACCGTTGGATTGCCCGAGCTCCCGCGCCCAGCTGCACTCGGCGGTCGACGTGCAGGCCACGGTGCTCTCCGGCACTGGCTTGGGGCAGTCCTGGCAAGTGACGGGGGGGGGACGTCGGGCTTTGCGCTTGGATTTGGGGGGGCGCTTTTCGCGGGAGGTTGTCTGGTTTTGCGGTGACAAAGATCAGGAACGGCTTGACGTTGTTAGCACCCTATCCTCAAAAGGAGCATGTATATACCCATTCTGAGCTGGGTGGCACGGAGACGATGAAAAAACGAAGCGCTCCAAGCCATTTAGCTGAAACTCCGAAACGAGATTCCTGTTGCTTTCTGTTCGCCCCTTCCAAGCAAATGGCCATGTACAAACAGGTTCTAGGATGCCACGCCTGATTGTCCTTTGGGGCAAGTGATCAAGGGACTGTTTTGGAACCGTTTAAAGACACTACTATGATACCAATATGGAACTGTTGCCACTTGGATGGGCAAAGGCCGGTCTACCTCAAGTAGGCCGCTATTTTCAGTTTGAGCAGGTCCCAAAAGGTTGGCCTGTTTCTGGGTCCTCGAAGGACTGTCCTAATGGCGGCTTGAAGGAAAACCACGTCCCAAAAGTAAGTTCGAACATCCCCCAAGCTGCCTTCACCACGTTGAGGCACAAAAAATCAAGGGACCCGCCCCCTCCCCCACCTCCGCCCGCTTTTCCGGGTCAACCGACCTCCAGGGAGCTGCTGGGGCAGTGGACCTCTCGGCTCTGCAGGCCCTCCCCGCACCCGCTGGAGCAGGCGCTCCTCGATCACGGATCGACGGGTCATCCGCCGAGAAGGTGTGGCTTGTAACAGAAGAAGGAAAAGCAAACGTGGTGTTCTGGGAAATACGAGGTGATCACCTTTTGAAGGGGTCATGACCATGTCTTTGTGCTGCTGCTGCTGCTGCTTCAATTGTTGCGTTTTTGGTTGCTGTAGTGTTTTTTTTGGATTGATAGAACAACGTGGGGATAAGACCCCTTCCCCCACACACAGCACTTCCTTGTGCCAGAAAGGGAAGTGAATGGGGAAGGAACCGTCCCTTTATGTTTATTCCCCTCCGTTTCCATGCGCAAAAGGTTGGTTCAGTGCCAACAGTACTCTTCATTTTGAAAAGCAACCAGGACGAACTCATGTTCAATCTTAATCCCTGCACCAACACGCTGTGTGAGAACTCTTGCCAAAACACAATTGGATATCCCAGTATGGCAGAAACATGGGTGGCATGATATCACTGATTGACAGGAATGACGGAATTGGAACAAAGGCTGCAGTTGGGTCCTTCTCGTGCTTCCCCTTTGTGGGAAGCTAGTGCAAGCTAGACATGGTGCACACGAGCCCACATTAGAGCTTGGGTACCCTGCAAAAACCTTTCACCACAAAGCAAACGCGCCATCTTGCTCCCTTGGCTTCCTTTTACAACTATGCTTGGTTTTTCCCGGCCAAGCGAGGATGGTGGATGCAACACAATCCACTGCCAAAATGCTCTTCCTCAAGGAGTAATTACCGCTAGCACTTGGACACTTAGATAGCTAAGCCACAAGATGACCCGCCGAAACCAGGTTTAAAGAGGGCCGAACTCGCTACATGGTCTGACTGCCGAGTAGGTTTAAAGGGGTCCGCAAACTTCGCTTCATGCTGCCAACCTCGAAGGGAAGCTGCCTGGGCGCCGCGCCAAGGACCCAGCGTCCAGACGCAGGTACCTGAACATGACCTGAGCAGGCTTAGTCTTGGGCCTTTACGGGCTCGCGAGGACCGCTGGTGAAACCCGTTCCCCTATCAACCACACTCCCTTTTCGGCTAAACACCTATGTTTGGCGGCGCCGTATTATATATATATATATACATGTTTGCTACCCCATATAAAATATAAGATATATATATATATATATATATAATATATATATATATGTATATATATATATATATATATATTTGCTACCCCATATATATATATACACACATGAAGGCCAAACTGGGGATGAGACATGCCTTGAGACTCTGAGACAACGTGACAAAATGCGAAAGACGTGCTTCAGACGCAGATTTGAAGTGCACTTTGGCAGCCTCAACGTGCCACAGCTATCTGGTTTTACTTGTTTGTGTTTGGGAGGGAAAGGTCAGCAAATCCTCAATTTGGGGAAGGAACTCATTCCTACTTGGAATCGAAACCAAATGAGTTGCAAAAGTGTGTCATGTCCTTGCACAGTTGCATTTACATTGTAAGTCAGTTCTCTCTACATAATCCCATATACATTCTAAAAACTTGCAACACAACTATCTCGGATATGAGTTGCCTATCAATAGCATTGCCAAAAATAATCTATTGAAATTAAATATAGGAAACTTATGTTTAAATACACACAATGTCTTAAGTTTCCCAGTTGTAGACAACCCCACATGGAACGTGCTTGTTGGGATTGGACGCCTTTTTGAGGTGTACTGCTGATCTTGGGAGCATTCCCCTTCTTATGTCTGAGGCATCACCCTGGGCAAAGCTTCGTTGAGCTTGGGGTGATTGTTGGTCGGGTTTTCGGGCGAAATAAAGGAACTTCCGCTCTCAGCCGCAAGCCAGGCGTGGTGCACCAAATGGCTGACTGGCTGAAGCGAGTCTTACTTTGGCCTCATTTGGCCTCATTTGGCCTTGTCTGGCCTTAGAAGGCTTTGCAAGGCTAGCTTCGAGTGTGGAGGGAAAGAGGAGAGTGCTGGCTCCATCCCTGGGGAGGCTGCGAGCGCGTCTCCGCCATCGACTGCATCTCCTTGAGATGCAGCTGAGAAGTGGCGCAAGTCTCTTCCCGCAAAGTGATCCATGTAATCCAAAATCCCCAAGGATGTGTGTGTGTGTGTTCACCTAGTTTCCTGCAGGTCTGGTGGTCGCTGTTGAGATAAACCCATGTAATATGCACAATACCCCTTACGTGAACACATTGTTGGCTTGAGTGGTTTGAGGGGCGGTTGGCACAGGGGAAGAAGCAAACAAACAACCTCCCAATTGCGTGGGTCACCACGACCCGATAATTCTGTGGGGTCCCAAAATAGGCGAACCCCCAACCCACAACAAACAATGTCTTGCCTTAAACAAGGTTGGGGGACCCCCAATGCTGAGACAAGCTCGTCGTGTCAATACCCAAAATTGTGTGTGGGTGTGTCTGTGGCTGATGTCCTTTCAGCTTCTGCTACAAGCCACCCCAATGGCCAACTTTTGGAAACACCCATTGAATCTTCACCCCCCCCCCGCCCCCCGTACAAATAAACATCCCCCAGCGTCACCAGGCATCACTATCACCCTATCACCCACAAATCCTTTGGATATTGTGCAAAAAGTGGTTGAATTTGCAACGCCCTGCACACCCCCACATCCCCAGATTCATTCTTCGGATGCATTCAGAACGACAGCTAGACTAGCTCTCGTACATTGCCCACCAAGACGTGGAGGGCCCAGTTTGGCAAACAGGCAGGGTCTCAAATCTAAAATGTTGTCCTTTCGCGGAAGGGTCGTAGCCCCGCTTTGATACATGAGAAGCTCTTGCCAAGCTATGCCCGAGTCAGAAGCGGTGTCCTGCGTATTCTCATCTACCACCTGCCAGAAGTCCGTTGGCATGCCAGAAGTCTGTTGGCATGACCCTGAAAACTACCCTCCCACCGAACAACATGGAACCTGAAAGAAGGTCCGCGAAAAGTTCTTTTGAAAAGCACCTTATGGTGGGTGCATGTCAGTAGGGCAACCAATGTCCATCGCCAGGGGCATGTTGTCAACCCCCTGTCTTTTTGAAGCCTCTTCCGCAAAGATAGGGTACAACGATATATCACCTCAAAGAATGCTCAGTGGGGGACTTGACTTTTGCGGCTGGGTTTGCAGTTGTGAAACTCCTTGTTACCCGATTCCCTGAAAGTGGAACGATCCAGGCTGTGCCTGGCAGCAGTTCAACCCAACACATCAAATAGCCAGCGGATTCCTTCCATGCAACATGCCACCAAATGACCAACACCTGTACCAATCCCATAAGATCAGCCACAAGGTGTGACCACACACTGACAACACAATTCCAGCTCCAATCATGCCAGCACGACCGAGCTCGCGTTGCTGCTATTGGACCAGTTCTCAAAGGACTCATTAGCTTCATCGTCCTCGTTGTCGGCGCTGGCGTTGCTGGCGTTGCTGGCGTTGCCGGCGTTGCCGGCGTTGCTGGCATTGCCGGCGTAGCTAGCGTAGCTGGCGAAGCTGCTGAAGCTGGCATTGGCGCTGGCATTGCTGTAGTTCTCTTCTCCATCCAGCTCCCACATGTCCTCGCTGGCAAACCCAACTGTCAGGTGAGCCATGGTCAAATCTTCTTGTCTGGGTCATGGCAATGGATTCCTCCTACAATGACTGACCAAAATCCTTAGCAAAAGGTGCTGATGACCATCCGGCGGGGTGGGGGAAGACGTTGATCTCCAACCAACCCCACGTACAGAGCTGTCTTGACCCGGCATATGTGGTACATGAAAGGTTTTTGAAATCGCGGTCGATTTAGGCATCGCCTTGTGCCAAAGGAACCTAAAAAACGGCCCTGAGCTTGCTTTCACGCAGTCCAAGTCACAGCACCGCAACCCGAAAGCCACCCTGCCTCCATCTCACTCTCATTGCTCATGTTGGACACGTTAGATTCAAGGTCCATGGCGACCTTGCATGCCGAAGATCTAAATCTGACATGGAGGGCAAGGTGACCCCTCTCGCCAAAATGTTGGTAACCCAGCACGGCCTTCCCGCTCCAAGCTCAAACTCTAATGCAGGGAGCGAGAAAACGTTCATCTGCACATCAGGCCAAAGGACGATGGATATTCTCATACTCGCTCAAGGTGGGGGACAGTGCAACATTCTTGCCTTCCTTTTTGTCTCTCTTCAAACACCGTGATTCTGACCCAAAACGGGTCCTCAATTTTCAGACATCCCCAGCTTAGAGCGCCGCAGGCTCAGTGGTTGTGACCTGCACATGTCGCTTGACTCCAAAGCGCCCAAGCTCCACCCCTCGCACAAGCGAGAAGGGCCGTCTCAAAAGCAGATCCAATGGAATCCCAAACCAAAAAACCCGCGCTCTGCACCTGGAAAAGGGGAAGACCCGAATGGGGGGCTTGCTCAAGTTCTCGCCCCCTTTTGAATGAAGTGGAAACAACGGCGAGCACGCGCCTCGAGTGCTGGCAGGAAGAAGCTTACGGAGGGCGCGCTCAGACCGAGGCACACCTCGCGGACCTGGCGAGGGCCGGCATGCCAATGCCATCTCCGGTGTCGTTGCATATGAACCCATTGGGGTAACCCATAGCCCAGTGCATTCTGACTCAAAGAGGGTTCTTTATGGCCAAACACACTACGAGAAAACCTGACTTGCATGTCCAATCCCAAAGCACGCAAATATGGCATCTCCTCGAACCCAGTGGCATGCAAACCCTGGCCCTGCAGCAAGCAATCTTACCGATCTGTACAGTAGATCATAATTTGAGGGTCCAATTTTGGATTGAAAACGAGGAAAGCAAAGGACATACGGGCGACATCTCGGAGTTTCCTCATATAGGACACAACCCGTGACAAAATGAAAAGGTAACAAACAAAACGGGTCCACAGCCCAATGAGCAAATGTTAAACAACTTGACCTTTGCCGGCAAACCAAGGGTGCAAGGCTGCTGCTCCCAGAACCTCTTAGGGTTAAAACCTACGTTTGTGCCCAATTGAGCAATCAGGCTTATGAGCAAAGGAGCAGGCAGCAAATGAGCCAAGGACAATCGCTTGTCGATCGCTGGGGCGCCAGCTCGCAGCCAATACTCATACTCCGGCACCAGGCTGTGGATGTCAACAGAGCACCTTGTTACGGTCCGTACGCGCTTCGCAGGCAGTCCCGAAGGCCCGCTGATCCGCTGTCATCCGGCATCAAGCAATGTAGGCTAAAGACTGCTGACAAGTACAACTTAGTTGCTGCTGGGCAGCTGCCGCCTATTTCCGGATCGCTGGTTCCAGTTGCTTCTCACCCAGTGAGCCTTGCTCCATTGTGCTTTGTGTGCTTGTGCCTTGCTTCCCTTGCCTTGCTCACTTGCGTCCTTGCTGTTCCTTGCTTGCTTGCTCCTTCGCTTCGCAACCGTTCTCAAACCGTCTTTGTCTCATTTTTGCTTGTCTACGTTGCTTGCCTGTTTCTCACTTGTTCGGTCGAGAAGTCGTCAGTCAGCTCGCTCGCTGGCAATGGCTTGACAGCGAACACTCTCATTCCTATTCAATGGTTGACAGTCCTTGTGGGGTCTGGCATGATAAATACAGGTACTCTGTAAATGAGATGTTTCTTCTCAGATGGGATTAGTGAAATTCCAGTGGCCTGCTTGTGATCGGCTTCGCATGTTGTCATCGAGCAACCCGAGCCTCCGACTCACTCCCCCCAAATGCGACCTTCAAAAAGCATATGGTACGAGTTGCTGTTCCCAAGCTCGTGGACTTCATCACTCCCAGGACTCCCCGCAACGTCGCTTCCCTTTTTCTGGTGGCCGGAGCGCTGCCAAACAAACGGAGCCCCCCAATTCCCCGCTGAGTACGAAAAAGCCTGGGGCCTGGGCTGCTGCAAGACTACACCGGGCGCACGAGGGCATGTGTCCAAGGGGTGCCTCAAGCGACAAGAGTGGCGAAAAGTGGGGCACCCACTCAGTGCACCAACCAGTGCTTGGAGTCCTCTCACTTGGCTTGCGGGATGGGGAAATCCCCGGAAGGCGCTCTCATTTCACAGCTCTCGCAGACTTCCTTTGCGCATCAAAACAAGCTGTGGTCCAGAAGGATTGACGTTCACACGAAATCCGCTTGGTCGTGACGGAAGCCGCAATGCGTTGGTTCCAACATATCATTTACACCACAAAACCTGCCTCAGGGCAAGGCCCAGCTGGATGTGTCGATTTCATCTAGAATCGTGTGAGTTTGTCATGAAATGTTGTCGCCTGTTGCACGATGTTCAAACCAAAGCCAAACGGCTGCCAACTATTTGTTTGATCCCTACTTTGGGCAAACCCGTATAGGGCAAGATCACTTTTCCTCGCATGCGCTAAGTGCAACTTGTGCGTGACAGGTCTTTGCCCCAGGCCAGGTCTGCTCGGTCTCGTTCAAGTACTCCAAAGCCCATCCTACGCCCCAACAACTGTTCACACATACGAATCCTGACACAGGCGGCCAGCAGTGGCATGTCAAGGCGCAGTTTCAGCAGAGACCGCCACGATACCACGCATCATCATCAGACAATCAAAACATGCCATGGGTCCATGCCGTCATAGAACTCAAGCCCACGAGTCATCATGAAAGGCACGGGAATGAACCGCAAGGCTCTCTCTCTCTCTCTCTGTCTTTCTCGCTCTGGCCGGTACCCCAGCCTTCGCTGAGGCAGTTGCCAGGCCTGTGCGCTGATCTGTGGGAAACGGCCAAAAACAAAAAGGAGAAACGGGAGTCGGGTGGCGAGTGCAGAGCTGATGTCTTTTGCTGCCTCCTTTTCCTGTGGGCTGAGGGTACAACAGCAATGCCAACAGCAGGAGGTTGAAAGGTAAGGCAGTGTCCCCAATGCAAAGGACATCCACCCCATTCCCGGCGATTTGCGTGCCACCTACTATTGTCTGGGGTCAAGAATCAAGCACAACGCCCTGTGGGGACTAGCCTGCATGGAGCGCTCGAACAAGAACATCAACCCCGAATGAAACAAAGCATCATGCACATGAAAAATGTTCATAGACGGGTCCTACGAAGCTTGGATGGGGAGGGGGAACCAAAAGCTTGTGTTCAATGCCCTAAGCCCAGGAGCCTATCCCGTCATGCTTCAAAGCCACATTCAAAATGGTGACACGCGAAGTGTGAAGCAAGAGAGGTAGCTTAGATACGGACTCCGTCGGAGACATGAAGCTCACCATCGCGAGGCTGCGCGCTCTGTATTGTAACTGGACGCTCCTTGCGGCGCCAAGATCAACACCAAATGTCTTCCAAAGGAAACGTGGAGACGTCGTCTGAAGCCCTAGACATGCAAGCTGCACGCTTTTCACTGCACCTTAGAGTCGGAGGATGAATCCGCCTTTAAAACAAGTGGAAAGTGTCAGGGACCGCAAGTGGTAGGCATTCCTTTGGTTCTCCGTTGAAGGTCGCACCAAAGGTCCAATTGCGAGGGCATGCCCAACTTTGGCTACTACCATTGTTTTGAAGGCCACTAGTCACTTGAGAGTCCCAAATTTCAAAACGGATTCGCCCTCTGCAGTTGTCTAGTGAGATTGTAAAGAAATTGCAGCAGCCTCTTTTACACCCAATATCTGTTGCATCCTGAAAGTCAAACTTCACATGAGCGAATCCTATGTCAATCTCGAGACACGCTTAAAGAAAAGGCAACGTCCGCATCAATCGCACTAGCCTTTGAGGAGGAGGGCACCGTGTTTTACAGCCTAGCAAAAAGTACATCCACGTTGACCGCATATGAGCAGTTCCCCAATTGACCGTTGCAAAGGTGTATTTGTCAGCCCTCACTAAAACGCCATCAAACTAAGAGATACTAATCTCTGTCGACCATCAAGTTGCTCAAGCAATCCGGAACCCTCGAGATCGACTCGAATCCACCCCACACGAGCTCCTCCAACTGCCAAAACCCTGAAAGGCAATGCAATTTGAATTGGCGGAAGGAAAGCGCAGGACAAAACCAAACTCCCTCCCCTCCCATGTAATGCTTCCCACATGCAGCGCTCCCGGGGGAAGAAGGCGACTGCATCCACGTTGTGTCGGAGGCGTCTCCGCAGGCCTCTGCCTGGCGCTGCACGAGGATGCATGGTGCAAGTTTAATGTGCTTGTTTCCGCGTTATACAATTCTGCATGCGCTTAAACATATCCATATATATATATGTGTATATACATATGTATATCATGTGTATACATATATATATATATACAGCGTCAAAATTACTTGTCTGGGGTGTATTCATTTGGTGTTAGGACGTCCCGTATCGTTTTACAGGTTTTGCTTAAAAAGGACGTCCCGTATCGTTTTGCAGGCCGTGGATACGGGACACATCCCTGCCCCCGTGCTTGCTACCAAACGATTCTTTGCGGGGACAGCGCCAACGAAACAGCAACGGAATGGAAGCTCCCACAAGCGGGCGTTCCCCGGTATAAAGCCACACGGCGGCCAAAGCGCAATCCCTGCAAGCCAAGCAACTCACACAACGGAAACTCACGCAGTGTTGCGTCAATGTAGTTCCTCACCCGCTTGGCTGCTGGAGCTGGAGTTGTTCGCTTTACACCCATGCAGCCGCTTGGGGAGAAAGGACGAGGCTGCGTCCAAAGATGCTTGTCACGCCCCCGCGGCACCGCCGGCGCTGGAGCCGCGAGGCTGGCTTCCTCACCGCGGTGGTCTTCTTCACCTTCTCGCGGGCACTCTTCGCGATCACCTTGACAATTGCTTTTCCGCGCTGTTCGGCTCAGCCTTTGGAGCCGAGGCAGCTCTCTCTATGCGAGCATGCTGCCCCTCCTGGGTCAAAGCTTTCCACTTCTCCTCAACACGCACTCCTCAACCCATCGTGATTCTTCCTGTGTCAGCCCAGCGCCGCCAGTTTGTGGCTGCACGGCTGCGAGGCTGCCTGGCAATTCCTGGCATTACAATCCTTGCTCTCCAGCATTGCAGTTCTTTCACACCCCCAAATGTGTGTCTCCTCGTAACTGCAGGGGTAGCGCTTTGGTGTCAAGTGGGCCACCCCCGACATTTAGCATCCTGCCCCATTGCGGGGGTATCGTCGGGGTATCGTTTTGGGGTATCGTTTTTTCTCGAAGCGGCGGTGTTTGACAACTGTCTTACTTCCGCTCTAAGGAGCCTCAGAGAAGCGCTGGAGCGTGCAAAATGCAGTCCTGCAGTTTGCTTGCGGCCGAAGAAAGGTAACCTCCCAAGCACCTTGCGTGGCCAGCAAAAGGGCAAGCCAGCGGGACATCCTCAGAATGCATAGCTGCCGTCTTGGTTTCCGTCTATGGACGCTCCACCCTCCAGCTCTCGCGCTTTCTAGCCTTTTTCGTAGCTTTTTCATGCGCAGAGTGCAGATGCACGCATTCTTCGAAAGAGATCGCTCATTTAGTTCCAGTATTGCGCAAGTTCCTTCTGAACTTCGTTGACCAAACGGAGAACTACAGTTGCACCCCTTCTAAACTTCCTTGACTGAACGGAGAACTACTTTTACATCCCCTTCAAAAATGCAAACGCTGCAAGAAAGACTTTTGCCCAACTACAACTCGTAATGCTTTTTGCTGGCCGGCAGTTACCCCTGCAATGTGGTGGACACATGCTAGAAACGTTCGCCCCGTTCAAGCACAGCTTGTTTTTGCCACACGTGTCTTGTCACAAGCCAGCTGGTGCTCCAAATGTGAAGTTCCCTTTTGATCCCCCTGCCCTGCAACCCTTGCAGAGGAAGGGCCTAGTTGCAAGTCTCGACCAAGCAAATAAACACATGCTCTAGGAGAACACACAAACTAACAAGACATTTTTGTTTGCAACCAATGCCAACTTGCTGAAGGGGTATCGTTTTTTTGGACGTCCCGTATCGTTTTTCGAGCAACAACGCAAACACAATACGTGCATGAAACACCCCCATATAAAGTACATGACGGTAATTTTGACGCTAACTCATATATATATATATGTGTGTGTGTGCGTATCCCTGTGTGTGCGTATGTATGTGTGAATCTGTGCGTCTTTTCTGGGCGTGTGCCTGTGCGCATCTGCGACTGCATCTGCGCATGTCTCTCTGTGTGTGTGGGTGTGTGGGTGTGTGTGTTGTGTGTGTGTGTTGTGTGTGGGTGTTGTGTGTGTCTATGTTGCGTGTGTGTGTGTGTGTGGGTGTGTTTTGTGTGCGTGTGTGTGTGTGTTGTGTGTGTGTTGTGTGTGTGTGTGTGTTGCGTGTGTGTGTTGCGTGTGTGTTGCGTGTGTGTTGCAAGTGTGTGTGAGTTGCGTGTGTGTAGCGTGTGTGTTGCGTGTGCGTGTGCGTGTGCGTGTGCGTGTGCGTGTGCGTGTGCGTGCGCGTGCGCGTGCGCGTGCGCGTGCGCGTGCGCGTGCGCGTGCGCGTGCGCGTGCGCGTGCGCGTGTGCGT